ACCTCTCCTATATGGATTTTGTTGGTAGGGTGCCGCCTCAGCTAGGCAACCTGTCCAAGCTAGTTTACCTTGACGTAAATAGTGAATTCAATTTTGGCAATAATGTGCACTCACCTGAGATTTCATGGTTGGCACAACTCACTTCACTGAAGCATCTCAACATGGGTCGGGTGAACATTAGCACAGTGGTTGACTAGGTTCATGTGGTAAATACTCTTCCAAATTTGAGAGTACTATGCTTGAAACGTTGCGGCATTGTGACTTCCGCTCCATCACTATTACATCTCAACCTTACAGCTCTTGAGGAACTCAGCCTATCTGAGAACTCCTTAAACAGTCAAATTGCACCCAACTGGTTCTAGGATGTGACTAGCCTTAAGAGCCTTGAGTTTAATCGTTGTGGTCTATTTGGTTCCATTCCTGATGAATTGGGGAACATGACCTCATTACAAATGATGGATCTCTCGGTTAACCATCTTAATGGGATGATACCGGCAACATTTCAAAATTTATGCAATCTGAAGTCTCTAGCTCTCTCTGGCAATTACATTGGTATGGAACTGACATATTTGATGGAGAGGCTACCAACTTGTGCGCAGAGGAAATTACAGGAGCTGGATCTGATTGATGCAAACTTGACTGGTAATATAACATATTGCCTAGCAAACCTAACCGGTTTAAACATTCTTTGTCTAGGATCGAACCATTTATCTGGTTCTGTGCTGGTGGAGATTGGAGCACTTACAAACTTGACTTTTCTGGATCTATCCAACAACAATCTAAGTGGTGTAATATCACAGGAACACTTTGCCAACCTAACAAATTTGGAATATATCATTTTATCAGATAATCATCTACAGTTCAAAGTTGATTTTGATTGGGTGCCACCATTTCAACTGTGGGGTGCAGCGTTTGCATCTTGTCACATGGGCCCTGGATTTCCTACATGGCTTCGGACACAAAACCATATTGACGGGCTAGATATTTCAAACACAGGTCTCACGTACTAGAACGATTCCAGATTGGTTCTGGTTGTTTTTTCGAATGCTACCGAGTTGCACATCTCCTATAACAATATTAGTGGCGAGTTGCCCCTGAATTTGGACTTCATGTCATTGGAGTACCTATTTCTCAATTCAAACAATCTAACTGGTTCCGTACCGCGCTTGCCTAGAACAATAGGGATATTGGATATCTCAGAAAACTTTTTAAACAGGCAACTGTCATTAAATTTTGAAGCTCCATGGTTACAGGTTGTGCATCTCTTCTCCAACCGTTTAACTGGGGTTATTCCTGCATCAATTTGTCGGTGGAAACAATTGCGAGTACTGAATCTGTCAAAAAATCTCCTTGAAAGTAAGCTTCCTGATTGCAGCACCAATGATCTGAAACAGTGGAACTCTTCTACCATAAACTCTTCAACGGTAAATTCTAGTTGTGCAAGTTCTTCAAATTTGCAGCTTCAGGCTCTTCTTCTGGGTGACAACAACCCTTCGGGGGAATTTCCCTTGTTCCTACAAAATTGCAAAAACCTTACTGTCCTTGATCTATCCCACAATAATTTTAGTGGAAAGTTACCTGATTGGATAAGTAATGAATTGCCACGTTTGGTAATTCTTGGATTAAGATCCAATTCTTTTTTTGGCCGCATTCCAGCTGAGATAACACAACTTCCTGCCCTTCGTATTTTGGATCTTGCAAATAACACTTTATCTGGAACGATACCAAGCTCTTTAGTTCATTTAAGGGCTTTCACTGCTTGTATGCCTTTAGATCTAGAACAAAATCCTTTTATAGTAGAATATGAACTTCAACATGGAAACTTGTATTTGGGTCTGGCTAATGACAGTTTCGTAGCGGAAACAAAAGGTCAAGAGCTCAAATATACAGGGAAATATAATATTTCTGATGAGCATAGATTTATCTCAGAACAATTTAGCTGGACCAATTCCATAGGAAATAAGCTCTCTTGTTGGATTGATAAATTTGAACTTGTCATGGAACCACTTTAGTGGACATATTCCGGAACAAATTGGCACACTACAATTATTGGAGTCTCTTGATCTCTCAAACAACCATTTTTTTGGTGAAATTCCTTGGTGCTTATCAAATTTGACTTCGCTGAGCTTTCTGAACATGTCCTACAATAATTTATCAGGCAGAATACCCACTGGAAATCAACTAGACACTCTGAACACAGATAATCCAGCTTCCATGTACATCGGTAATCCAGGTCTCTGTGGACCTCCCCTTCAAAATCACTTCCCCGGAGAACAGCCAACGGACGGGGGTCACATCATACACCATAAAAATGGCTGGGCTGAAATGGATTTTTGCCTGGGTTTTGTAGTGGGATTTGTGGTGGGCATTTGCTGGTATTTTGTATCCTTTAATTTCTTCAAGCTATTTGAGACACTCTACCATAGCCTATGCCTTCCGTAGTCACTTGTACAAATTTGATTGTATAAGGCACGTGTAGAGTAAGAAAGCCTTATCAAGTTATATATGTGTGTGTGGTGCTTTACTACAAGAGATGATTTCTATCGGAATAAGGAGGGTGAGTTTCCTATGTTATCTATTGTCAACTGTAATGCATGTTTTCCATGTGCTATCAATTTTCCATTTAGCATACTATGTGAAAGTGGATCTTGATGTCGGTTTTGGTTGATTAATGACTAATCATTCAAAGGACTAATTTGTTTATTAGATATAAGCAGGTCCAAAGCTATGTATGTGACAATCGATGGTTGGCAACCCCCCACCCCCAATTCAAAGATTAAAACAAAAATAATGAATTTCAAGAAGGAAATATAATCAATTCTTTGTATTTTGAAATTGAGCATAGGAATGCCAACTGTCAAGGATATTCAAATTTACTATCTATAGGTGTCCATATGCTCAAAGAAGCTGCTAAACAAACCTTTGTGAGATACAACCCCAGACCTTAACTTACCTTAGTGGTGTTACCTGGCCCATGGTGCTACGTAAGCATCATGCAACTCGTGAACCACAAGTGTATGGTGAAGTTGTAAGTTTTTCCTCAAATTTTTAATTCCAACCCAATGTTTATATCGAATCCACAAGGAACAAGTGGATGGATTGTTATGTACTAATCTTTACTAATGGAAGCCTTAGAAAGTGTGTAAGCTAAATCTAATAAACTACACCAGAGACAGGGTCTAAAACTAACTATATTGCCACACGAGGTCGAAAACAAGATAGATGACACACATGGAATGTCCCTAGTAGGGTGTAGCTTCACTTGCAAACACATCTACTACACCTACACGGTGATGCTCAAGCCATGCTAGTAATAATAAGAAGATAAGATGACAATGAGATAGAAAGGATAGATAAATAGAAACAGAGAGGGAAAATAGCCCTTGCAAGATCTTGTGGGTAGTTGTTTCAAGATGTGATATATATACTTACCACCATGCAACCGTACAAGTCCTACAAACCCAAAGAATGAACAACAGATAGGAGTGTATATGTATCACCCTACATGCATGCATGCCCTTTCTTCCTAATAACACCTCAAAGAATAGAAGAAGGCATGAACCCAAAGGAAAACGAACAAAATTAATAGCTAAACAAATAATATCACTCTATATGCATGCCAAAATCACATCAAGGTGTATGCACGCAAGCAAGATCGATTTCCAACTTCCAAGGAGATAGATGGTGCAGCTTTAGCTTATGATGACGACTTGACAGCCATGGCGTCGTCGATGGCGTTCGGGCTGTGTGTAATGGACCGATCGATGCGATGATGAGCCGATGAGACGACAGCAGTAGCGTAAGCGATCACGCGATGCCGCTGGTGAGGCCGAGCGCGACCAACGCCATGCGGCCGTACTCCCTGTCGTGCGCGGCGACGGGGACGTGCTCCTCTCCCTTCCAGACGTCCTCGCAGCTCTCGGCGGCGCCCAGCGCGGCGGCCAGCTGCTGGGACGCCTTGCCGTAGACGCGCGCGTGGAGGTTGTCGAGCGCGTCGCGCAGGACGTCGGCGGCGGCGTTGTAGAGGTCGAGGCAGTGGTGCAGGCGCGCGCGCGCGTGGGGGGACTCCTCCACCTCGCCCAGGTCCTCGATCTTGGCCTCCGTCGCCGCCGCGTGCTCCACCGCGATCCGCGTCGCCAGCGCGGCCAGGTGGTGCAGGTCCGCGGCGTCGCGGCTCCGCGCGTCCGACGCCAGTGACGCCACGCAGTGGTCGTAGCTCACGCCCCCCGCACCGCCGCTCGCCGCCATCCGGCACGCCTCCTCGATGGTAACCACCACCTGCGCGCCGCACGGCGCCACGGCGGTTCCCAGCAGAAGCAGGGCCGCGGCGGCCAGGTAGCAGAGCGGCATCGTGACGGTGACACTACCCATGGCGGCGCTGCGTCGTGGTTCTTGCATTGCGTTGTGACGATGGCTTCGTTCTTCGATCGGATCGTGCTGGATCCACGCGCACTGTTCTGATCTTGCTGGTGTAGAATGAATGCAACTATATGCAAGTGCGAGCGCGCTCTTTATCGCCCAGATGTGTGCTAAGAGCTGGGAGGCGCGGAGTTCTTGTCGGAGCGGGCGAGACAAGTGTCTGATGCAGATTGCAGAGAGCTTTACCGACGGACCGAGCTAGCAGAACCATTCAGCAGCTAGTAGTAGTGCTTTGCTATTCTTGAGCGACGCGAGAAAGCATGCATATTGGTCTCTCGTTCTCTCTGGACCCACTTTCCAGCGACGTACACGTGGATGGTGGCCCAACCGTACCACCGTACCGGTGGATAGTGCTGTACGTTAGCTCTGAAATAGTGAAGCCTGAACTTTGGCAACCTCTTTCTCAACACTTCAGAGAATTTTATTTACAGCATTAAGAGATACATGGATAACCTAGTACTAGAATACAAGCAGCAGTAAGAGCTTGGAGATCATATGGCATATGCACTCTGTCACACTCACACAGGCTTCTTCTAGCTATGGTCTCTGCTCTGTCACACTGTGATGAGCAATAAACACAATCACACTTTCTCTTGCTGTTCTACCTCGGCCTGAACTGGTTTCGCCGAAGCAGCAGCAGCTTCCTCTTTCTTGCCCCATAGCACAAGGTAGAGTCCGAGAATAACCAGCACTGATCCTAGCACGCTGCAACATGAAAACAGAGCAACAGTCCAGTTAGCTAGGGTGAATGTTCAGTGACAAACGGCACAATGTTCAGTGAGAATAATGAGGCTGCAGTTAGGGAGCAGATCGTCGATGAGATGAGCAGCATGGTGTTGTGATTGTGACCTCACCTTCCAAGGTAGAGAGGTTCATGGAGGATGAAGAGATCGATGCCGGCGACGAAGATCTGAGCGAGCGGGCTGAAGGCAGCTGTGAAGACAGGGCCTCTCTTCTCCACGCAGTATGTGAGCAGGAGGTACCCAATGCCGGATGCCACTATACCCTGCACCACAAACATGCATTCTGCATCAACAATGCTGCCGCAACAGTGACAAATGTGTCTGCAGTCTGCAAGAGAAGAAATCTTACACAGTAGACCACCGTGGCGATCTCAACGGTGCCCCTGGGAGCCCACACGGCAAGGCTGCTCCTCTGGACCGACAGGGCGAGCGCTCCGGCCTGGACGAAGCTGAAGAGCGACATGAACGCCGTCGCTGAGTACACGGCCGGGTACTTCCTGGGTGAACTTCCGCTGCAGGAGCAGCCACAGCGCGAAGCCGACGACGTTGGCGAGCATGGAGACGGAGCCCAGCACCCACCGGACCCTGCCGTGCTCGCCACTGCTGCCGGAGGAGGATGGAGCCATGGATGACGGCGACAGCGATGTGGTGGTGTGGGTCAGTGCTGAACCCTTGTAGAAGGTGAGCATCATTGCGCCGCCGAGGGAGATGAGTGTCCCTGAGATCTTGGCACTCCCTGACCTGCTCCTCACCTCCAGTGCTTCAAATCTGAAAGATGAAGTTTATTATTGTGAGCTTATATATATAATTAAGTGGGACTATATATATATTTCTATGGAAAGCGCTTAAAGTAATCCATATATAGGAGTTAATAAGACACAGATCAAGTGATGATGAGTTGAGCTAATGTGCTCTGCTGAGGACCCTTTGTTGTAGCATGTGCATACATGGGAACAAAGTTGAAGATTCCTTTTTAGGCGCTTTATTTAGGATGTAGTACTGGTTGGTTTGAATAGTATAAGGTTGCATAGCGGCGATAGCACTATATCAATTAAAACTTTTTGTGCCATCCAGTTTTATAATACAAATAGATACTGCAAGTTTATGGTAGAGATTTTGCCAGAGAGAGAGAGAGACAGGGAAAAGCCTTTCAATCTGCTGAAAGAAGAAGCTCTGTTTTTACCTGAAAGCAAGTGATATGAGGAAAGTAACCACTGGAAGCAAATTTCCGAAAGTTGCAGCAAATGTTGCTGTCGTGTAATCCAATCCCACAAACAATGTGTACTGAAGCAGCACCGGCCTGCAGCAGGCAACAAGTGAAATTAAGAAACGATTTACATAATTAGTCCAGGAACAGTGAAGAGCAACCAACTGAATCATTAATAGCAGTGTGTGAGTGGAGTTGGTGTTTACCCAAGAATTCCACTCAGGAACATGTACACAAAGATTTCGGTTGTGAACTTTGGTCTCATCTTCCTGATGAATGAAGGGGAAAAAAAACAATGGCTGTCAACAATCTATAGTGAAATATATACCCATGCATGCATGCATGAAACGACCAGCTACTACTGTTCATATTTCCCTTTGCATGCCTTTTTGACACCACACCAGCACAGCATCACCTACCTTTCCTTGAAGTAGGCAATGGGGCCAAGGAACAGGGTGGCCAGCATCTGCCGGAAAGTGATGAGGACCAGCCTGTTCATGCCCTGGCTCAGTGCCTGCTTGATCAGCGCGTTCATGACGGCGATCACGACGTTTGTGGCCACCATTGCCGCCGTCGGCGCCCACTGTTCCATGCATCCTGCACTCCACATCTCGATTCAAGGCTCAAGCAGCAGCAACTAACCAGCTGCAGAGCCCTAGCTCGCTAGCTGTTCGATCCTGAGCTTGCTTTGATCTGACGATGGCTTTGTGTGATGAGCTGAGCAGTCTGCTCTGGTTATGTCATGGCTTTATAGTGCTGCTACCTGCATGCTGAGGTGCTGATGATGTTTGCAGTGGCATCTGAAAGGAGGATGTTCCCTATCGACCTCGTTTCGTTTTCCTAACACGTGACCATGCTCTAGCTTGAGCTGTTACTAGGGGTTTTGCATTGGGTATAGGACAAAGCACTTAGCAACCATTGGCTGGCTAGCTGGTGCTTACACAATTTGCTTTGCTGACCTGAGAATATTATATTTGCAATCTGGAAAATGTGCATATGTTTGATCAATGAGCAAATTGTGCTGCCAGCAAGTGAGCAGAATACCCAGCTCTTTAGGTAGTGCAGTGCAGTGGATCGAACATTTAAAAGCTCCTCATCTTTTTTATCAGTTTTGGCAAGCAGGTTGGTTGTGACCTGACCCGTGATGCAATTAGATTAGATGTCCTGCTCCTGCATGCGTCAATCGCTTCTACTGTAGGGCATTGGATGCTGCCTGCTTGAGCACTCAGGCATTGTCATGACTACTACCTCCATTTAGGGCCAGTTTAAGAACATGCACCATATATGTAGATGGAGCTAGGAAATAAATAAAACATGTATGCATCTTTTTCCATGAGAAAGGAGTAAAATCCAATGCCCACTGTCTCTGCTTTCATTGGCACACGTTGCTTTAGGTCCACATCAAATCCGGAGCATCGATTCTCGCTCGCCGCGCCGCCCTCATAGGAGAATGGCGAATTTGGGGGTACAAGACAAGCGCCATGTGTGCATGAAGAACATTTCTCTCTTTTTCTTCCTCCCACGCACCCAATGCAATTCCGTGTTCAATGTGACAGAAAAAGACATTCTAACGTGTCGAATTTTGGGTGACATCTGCCACTGGCCCCGGCCTTCTCTAAGATCCTAGCTATGACTGAACTTTGGAGAGATTGCATGCATGCATGGTTACTTTTTTCCATGCATGGTACGGTCAGGCACACAAAGAAAATTAGGTTATTAGGGTAAGCAAAAACACATGCTAAAATACAACTATACAAGTAGTGCTATATATCTTTTTTTTATGGGGAAATAAAATACTAATGTTTCTTTTTAGAGAGGAAACAACACAGATACTTACTTATATATACTATATATATACTTGCAGAATTAAAACAAATACTATATATACTTGCAGAATTATTAGACCATCCTTCTTAGCACAGTACTAGTTCCACTAGTAGGAAATCAAACAGGAAATTTTTATATAATACTATTATATTAAGTATATATGTCAAGTATCGATCACAGTCCAAAGAACTGTATCTTTTGGTCCTCATCCTGGTTTGTTTTGGAAAAAAAAAGGATAAGAGTGGTCTGCTGGTCCTCATGATCTGACTTGCTTCTCTTTGTCCTCCTCCTCCTCCTCTTCCTTGGCAGCTTCTGCTGCTGCTGCTGATGCTTCTGAGGCATCCCTCTTCTTTCCCCACAGCAGAATATAGAGGCCCAGAATCAAGAGTATGGATCCCAGAACACTGCATGCATGGATAACAACAAAATAAAAAAAAAAGTGATGCAATTTGGTCCATCCATTGCAATTCCAAAAACCCAGCTAGCTGCATGCCATCACTTCAACGTGACGTATATATGTAGGTAGGTGTCTGCAGAGCTAGCTAGTATGGATACTCCTCCTCTTTTTTTTTCTTTTTTTTTTCTTTTTTTATGGCCTGCTGGAGGCCATGCATTTTGCTAACCAACAGCTTCAAAATTCTTCAGCTGATGATGAGTATGGTACGGTAATACAACAGATAGCTTACCTTCCAAGATAGAGATTCTCGTGGAGAAAGAAGAAATCGATCATGGCAACCATGATCTGTATGACAGGGATGAAGGCTGACGTGAACACCGGCCCTCTCTTCTCCACGCACCACGTCATCAGCACATAGCCCACTCCGGACCCCATGACTCCCTGAAACATAAATTAAACATACATATGTGCTTGAAATGTAAATTTTGATTTGCTGTTAAAAACATATCTTATATGTTTTCGTTTTATATTTTACTGTTACAACATACCCATGCGTTATGACAAGACGTAGCTCGTTATGCGGTTACCTCGACGATTTACAGCTAGGGAGATTATTTAATGCCGCGTCACATGCATGTTGAAAATTAATTTGTTTTAGAATCAGACTCCTTAGTCTGCCTGGACGCACACTTCTCTAACTTATATGAGCATATATATTACAAGCTCATGCATGTTTGCTTTGATGATCTAGCTAGCTACATCGGATCGCGTTTGTCTAGTCTAGACGAAAAGAAGGTTGGGATGGGATCAAATCGCGCTGGCAATAGTGGGGCAGTCTTTGTTGCATGCATATGGACTGAATCAAATTGAGCGATTGAGATCCAGATAAGACACAAAGCAAGCCAACGAGTGGTGAGGCGTTCATGAGAACAATCATGGAGATATTGTGTTATTGACGTCTGTTTGCATGCATCCGTCGTCCACCCCCTATATAGAGGTTGCAGGGATGGACACGTGCATAGGTGGGACTCGATAGGATCAGGTGCCAACGTCTCGTCGACTATGAGAGTATGAGGTGGTTGTTTGGTTCAGCCCCGGCCCGGAGCGGCAGTGTAATTAGAAACCAGTGCTATCTGTTACCATGCAACTGAAACCATGATTTGTTTGGTCGGCATCTGTAACATCTTATCAGTTGTCAACTATGAAGTGATGTTTAATTTGGTAAAATTTCAATCAAATATACTGTTTAAGTATTTTTGGGGGCGCATTTGCAACCTCTAAGAACAACAGAGCTTCGCCCCCTGACTGTTTCACGTGCCTGTACCTAATCCCCGCGTTATCGATTGCGGCTCAGTCCAACCAAACATAAAGTTACTTGATCTGATAACGGTGAGAAGCATTACGGGGCAAAAACAACGAACCAAACAACTCCTGAGATATACACGTTCCGTTCTGCGTGTGGGAAGAGAGGCTTCTAGGAAATATGGAAGAAGAAAAATACATCTACTTTAATATTAATGATAGGAGATTGGAGAAAAAAGTGATTGGCTTTGTTCGTATTACTTACACTAATTCCGGTGATCAAATTGACCACCAAGACCTACAAAGAACTTGTAGGCAATATTTTCTTTCTACCCCTTGAGAGTGCCGATGGGCGTCATCGAATCCATCAGAATAGTAAGCTATGGTGCCGCTTCTATCTGCCTAGGTCTAAGTTTATTTTGCCTTTCCTTATTGAGATAGGTACATGCCAGTTTTACCGATCATTATAAAAATAGCAAATATACTCGTGCGTTGCAAGTTGCAGCATAATCTACATCTTGCATCATATGTTCTAATACTTTCTTTTAAAAATCAGACTGCATACTGTGATCCTACGTGCGGTATTCTAACTCGTATGGGTACGGGTTATCAATTTAATTAGGTCACCAATAGGATAATAAACCAATTGGGACTCTAATGTCCAATTCATCACGTCTTACTGTTTTTAGTAAACTCTTATGCTCTAGAGAGTGGATCAACACGAACAGGAAGAGAATGCAATGGACCAAAAATTTGGAGGAATAAATTTTTGCTCTTTAATATTATTATAGTTAATGTATGGATGTGGAGACGGAGAAGCCTATACCAGTGGTGGATCCGGGATAAATATTTAGGGGGCTCAAGCAATCAAATTCATACCATGGTGAGAAGGCATGAACATGCATGAAGTTGTGCTTCCGGAGATGAGCTTTCACATGGTTTTCCACAATAGGCTACAACAATCAAGACACTAAGTGCTCAAATTAGTAACTAACTAAATAGAAAAAAGATGCATACATTATAGTGTAAGAATTTCTAAAATCACAAGATATGATGCAACTACTCGCCTGGCTAGTGATGCATTTCGTCGAACACCTGAAAGACAGGTACTACAGCAGCGAACATGTGTTGTTCCATGAAGATGAAGTGGCAGATTCATAGCACGTCATGCTCTATCTAACACCAATAACTAACCGACACAATTGCCAAAGCATCCAAATATCTAATTATCACTTAGGAGTATATAGATTAGAACTTAGAGCGTCTCTTGAGTTCCCTAAATTTTCCTCCTAAAAATTCTACGTTTTCCAACTCCTAAAAAGGTATTTGAAGAAAAAAAAACCCATCTCCAATAGTACCTAATATTTCACTTCTAAGAAATCAAATTTTGATCCCACTTGGGCTTTCTTTTTGCGGTATTTTCACGGTGACGAGCAAGGCATGGCTGCCGGTAGTGCCGCCGTTGACGCGGGGTGGACCACCGAGGCCGGCCGGCCTCCCGCGCCTCCACCGGCGGCTGGAAGTCCGCTTCCATCATCATAGGCAAGTTGGCATCCGCCGTATATATGCAGCAAGTTTCGATCCTTTCTTGCTGAGATGAGATCGATCGGTTATGTTGATGCATGCAGCGGTGGAGATCGCGGAGCGCTTCTCCTTCTACAGGGTGTCGGCGAACTTGATCACGTTCCTGACGGGCCTGCTGGGGGAAGGGGTCACAGCGGCGGCGGCGGCCATCGACGCGTGGAACGGCACGGCGCAGCTGCTACCGCTGCTGGGCGGGACGCTCGCGGACTCGTGGCTCGGCCGCTACCGCACCATCGTGCTCGCCTCGCTCATCTACATCCTCAGAGGGGAATGGCGCGGGGAGAAGGATACGCGGAGGCGGAGGAGCGCGTAACTTTACACGGAGTGGGTCAGTTTTTTCCAAGTGCCTAAATTTTAGGAGGAAGAATTAGAAAGGGATTTAGGGAACTCTTGGAGATGCTCTTAGAACGTGATGCTTCCCTGTCAACCACTCAACCTGCTATCTAGTCTAGCCGTCCAGGACTCTAGGACGCCCCTGTGTCTGTGTCGTGGAGGCGTGC